AAGGGGAAAACTATTCTGGAGATGTTCGAAGGCAACTTTTGAAGTGAAGTACAGTGAGGAGCTTTACAAAATGAGCAGACTTGGTAATGAAATTAATGATGATTTATTGCATTATCCACAAGTGTCATGGGTTAGAGCATTCTTTCAAGAGCATTCCAAATGTGATGCAGTTGAAAATGACATGTGTGAAACCTTTAACTCATGGATCTTATTATGTAGACACAAATCTATAATAACCATGTTGGAGGAAATTAGGAGAAAATTAATGACTAGAACTGTGGATATGGTTAAGTTTGCTGACACATGGATATGTGATATTGCACCTATGGCTAGACTTGTGTTGGAGGAGAATAAGGAAAAGTCTAGGGCATGCAAGGTGTTGTGGAATGCTGATGTTGGGTTTGAGATTGGAGAAGGGCAGTATAGGCATACAGTCAACTTGACTAATAGAGTTTGTAGCTGTAGAACTTGGCAATTGAGAGGTATTCCATGCCAACATGTTATTTCTGCTTTGTATCACATAGAACAGGAACCTGAACCACTTGTGGAGCATTGGTATAGGAAGGATACATTCTTAAAGGCTTATAGTCATTTTATTCAACCAATTTCAAATATGAAGATGTGGCCTGAAACAAACAATCCAAGGATTGAGCCTCCTGAACTTAAGCAAATGCCTAGTAGACCTCCAAGAAATAGAAGAAAGAGTAAAGATGAACCAAGAAAGAAGTATGGAAAGATATCCAAACAAGGGTTGAAAATTACTTGTTCCAGGTGTAAACAACAAGGCCACAACAAGAAATATTGCAAGGTAAAATAAATTATTATTTGTTTGTGCCTTTTTAAAATTCTTGTTGAATGTAATGAACAAACTTTATGTTTGATATTTAGGTTGGTGTCCATACTTCACAACCAGCTAGCCACAGTTCACAATTTACTGCTGGTCAAAGTTCACAAGGAAGTTGCCATCCTGAACCAACAAGCTCCTTCTAACCTGGACCAACAAGATTCAACCAACCTGCTTCAACAACATCAAACAGTCATGCTTCTTCAACAACAATTTGTGGTGATACCAGTAGAGTTAAGAGGGCAAGGGAAACTGCAAAAACAAGCCAACCACCATCATTTGTGGATACAAGTATTCCTGTTACAAGAGGAATAACCAGTCAACTACCTACAAAGACAAGACAAACTGCTGGACAAAAAAGAGGAAGAGTTGCAACTGGAGAAGATTCTGCAAGAGGGGGACCAAAGAGGCTAACTAATGGTGGATCAAGTAATGTTGGATTTGGCATCTACACAAGTGCAAGTGGAACCCAAATACTAAACGTAAGTTTGTCACAAACTATCTCTGAAATGAATGCAAGTTTATATATTAATTTTGGTTTTTTCTTCAAAAAACAGCCTGGGACTTCAAGTCAAAAGATTCTACCAACAAGTTTAAGTTATAAGGATGCAAGTTTAACGGGTATAGACCTTGGTTTTAAGCCTAGAGGCTTGAGATGAAAAAACAAGGATGTTGTCACCACTTCCCAATTGCAGCAAATGGCAAACAAAAAGAAGAAGTAGCACCAACTTAGAATAAGTTGATTTTGGGCCCTTATTTTGGTACTAGTAAACACTTTTGTGAAGGTTGTATGTAGCTTTTGATTATGCTAGCTTTATTTTGGGGACCTTATTTTGGTACACTTTTTTTGAAGGTTGTAGCCTTGAATGGCATGTAGCATAATGCTAACGTTGAGCTCATTATGGAGCATGCAATATAACTGTCTGTGTTTTATGTAATTTGGGTGTTACATTGTGACGAATATGACCAATTGTATGTGTAATTTGGCTATTTATTTTTGGTGTTAGTGAGAACGAATTTGAGATTTGTATGTAGCCAAAAAACCAATTTTACTGCAACAACAACATAGAATTTCATTGAATCCAAAATGCACATTTACATAAAAAAATTACAGCAACAACAACATCAAAATACTACTAGATCGAACACCAAATACAACATCAAAATACTACTAGACCGAACACCTCAAGAACACTAACAATTAGGCTTCAATTTCCATATTCCAAACATCAGCAATCCAGTAGCAACGACACCAACAATAAATATATTTCTTGCTCGCTTTAATTTTTCATCAAAAGCATTGACTTTCTTCAACAATCCCCACATTACCCTGTTTGCTTGTGGAGGGTGTCGATCTTCATACCAAAGAAAATAGTCACAACCACCCATTTTCTATAAAATCAATCAAAAAGAATTAGACGCTAACAATTAATCATCTAATTGACTTGAAAAAAATAAGGGAACAAAGAATTTTACCTTTGAAATTCTACAAGTAAAAAATCTACGCCCTAGATTTAATTGGGTCCATGAAGTCTTTAATAGTGCTTCATTACCACACCTACAATATCTTCCTTCATCCACAGATGCCATGGAAGAATTGGAGAAGCTCGACATGAAAGTATTAAGGGCCAAGAATTAAAGAAAGGCTGAAGAAGAGAGAAATTGGGGTCTTAGTTATGGTACAATTGGAGAAAAAATAATATAAATAGATGATATGGAGTAATATTACCGTTTGGGACGCCACATCAGACGAAATTTTGATGTTTACGCGCCTTGAATGAGTGAAAATCACGCGACACTCCACCTGTGCAAAAAGTGTTAAAGTAACACATGGGAACCCTACGTTAGGTGTTTAAAATGAAAATCCTTCAGTTGAGGTGTCTAAGTGAAAGATCGTGCCAAGTTTAGGGGGCCACCGATGGGTTAGCTCTTTTATAAAAGAGAATTCTAGGCCCCCTACGTGGGCGCCACCACAAATCAGAATTCCCTTTTAATTTATTTATTTTCAAAATTAGTCTTCCTATATTCTCAAAAACTTTCACAACCGTCACCACCATCTTACAAATTAAGCCTCCACCAAATCTTCCATATGTATAAATATCAGCTCCTTTGAACTTAAGCAACTGATCATCAGTTAGGAATACCATGCCAAACTTAAGTTTAACTAATTGGTATCAGAATGAAGTATTGAGTCGAACTCTATGAGTTAGCTGGCTCAAATAAATATATAATAGTTATACCTTGACAATTTTTCTTTTTAATTTTGAAATTGTGAATGCTTCTCCTTTAATTTTATGTATACTTGCATTGTTGCATGCATTATTCTACCGTTTCTCGATAATCTTACTTTACCTTTGGTGATTTGAGTGAATCATTTTTTTTGTCTAGGGGTGGTACAATATAGATTGAAGGTCAATGTCATTTATTGGAGTTTTGAATGAAATATGAAGAGTTGTGACTTTCAGGAAAAGTTGCGACTTTCATGAAAAGTTGCGACTTTTATGACAAGTTGTGACATTTATGAAAAATTGTGAATTTTATGAAGAGTTGCGACTTTTATGAAAAATTATGACTTTTATGAAAGGTTCTGACTTTTTCGAAGGGTTGTAACTTTTGTGACCTTTCCGATAATGAACAATAAGCATTTGTTCACACTACCCTTTGTTGTTTATAAATAGAGGGATTTTCTCTCATTTTAAAACAACGAAACTTTGAACTTCTTCTTCTTCGTTTGCACAATTAAATATTTGTGTACTTTGCTCATGTTGAGTGGCTCACTGACACCATTGTTTTTGCATCAATACACTGGTGAATATAATCGTTCTATTCTGAGAGGATCTATTCCTTTAAATCTCGGGTACTAGAGAGGAATAATTTCCTTAAAGGGACATTGTACATTCAGTGGGCTCGATTTTTTCCTTTCTATTTCATTCTATTGTTACAGATCCTGATATGCTTTTTTATAGTCATTAATTTGTACTTATGTTATTAATTGTTGTTTTTGAGTACATGTTTTAAACTTTATTGTTTATGTTTCTACAAAGTTGTTGTTATAAGTATTTGTTAGTACATATTAAATAGCACACGTTAATTGAGTATTCAGACAAGTTTTCTCTATTGAAATTGTTGAAGGTACAACAAAAAAAAAATCCTTAAAGATCTGCACTACCATCTCTCGAAGACAAAATTCCAATTTGGTATGCCATTGTAAGGACATAAGACCTTAAAAACTTTATCTCACCTTGATGTGCGAAGCGAACTAGGAAAAGAAGACAAGAATTAATAAACTTTTGACATGGGTTCAAGGATATGTCGGATGATCTGTAGAGGAATATAACTAGACTAGAGCCTCTTTGAATCCCAGAGGCATAGATAACTACACAATAAATTAATTGTTAATATTCAATATGAAGTATAGACAAATTCTCAAGTTTAATGCAAGTTGAAAATATTTTTCTTGAAGTAATAGATGTGTTTCTCGACACTACGATTGGAATAGAAGTGTAGGTTCAAATTGTACTTCATCACTTTGGTATATTGATTTCTAAAAAACACTCAAACAAACTAAATAGTTTTGTGTAATATTTTTCCCTTTCAAGCATACATAATAAGTTGAATTGCATGATACATTCTCCCTTTAATTTTTCATTTTAAAATTACTTATGATACATTTAAATGAGAAACTTTAAAATGATATATGTAAAACAAAATGTATGACAGAACTTTCTACACGATAAAATTAGAATATTTTTTCACCTTTTTTAGATGTTTCAATTTATTTATCCCTTCACCAACGATTATTTATTTATAAGAAAATTTAATATATCAGGTTGATGTTCATTTGATTCCCCAAAAATATCAAATAGTAACACTTCCTGGAAGCAAAATGATAAATTATAAAATCATATTAAAGATGATTGATTGAAGTATAATTATAAGATGTTATAATTATCATTTCATTTACATTATTAATGTTTGTTACTACGTAATCTTGTATGTAAGATAATATAATATAATATAATATTTTTGTTTTAATGAATGACAAATTTTAAGTATACTTTTATAAATTCTGTCATATTAAATTTAATCGCTGACAATTTTGCATATTAATTTTATAAATCCCCTAAATATTTACACCTCAAATCATATTAAGGAGGGGTTATCATCGCTCTGCCTATTCATCAGTTTCGCCCGCCGTCGCCGTCACCGTCACCGCCGTCTCCATCACTATACCGTCGAGCCCTTTTGCTGCAACACTTAGTATCAGGTAACTTCTCTCTCTTTTGTGCCCTCCTTTTTCCTTGTTGCATCTGCTGCCGAAAATCATTCCTTGTACATATCAAGCAACCAAATTTTAAGTAGTAATAGCATGTAAATGAACTGGGTTGAGCAGTTTTAGGTTCAATTTCCAGTACAGACAGAATATTTCTTCTATCTGTTTTGTCATTTGTGCACAGAGTTACTTGTTACCGTTTGCTGGTGGGAGGTAGGTGACTCAGGTGACAGATATTTCGTGGAATTAGTCGAGGTGTACTTAACCTGGCCTGGATGCCAGAATTATCAAAATAATAATAATTTAAGAAGTAATAGTAATACATCTTAACCAGGTCCAAGGAGACAAACAAGGTTAAAGAGTTGAATGATTCAAACACTTGAGGGGTTATTTGATTGGTGGGAGGTCATAGGTATCGTGTGGAATTAGTCGAGGTGCGTGCAAATTGGCTCCGCACCATGATTATCAGGACAAAAAGTCCAATAAGTAATAGTAATACATCTTAACAAGGTCCTCAAGGAGATGGACTAGAGGTTGAAAAGTTGAAGTATTCAGACACTTGAGGGGTCATTTGGTTTGTGAACAGTTTGTGTGATTACAATGTGGGGATTATGGCGATTAAATAATAACAAAATTATTTAGTGGGTGTACTTTTATTGTTAGATGTTTGGTTCATTGGACTAAACATGTGTTTTAATGGGTATAGTTTGAATCATGTGTTTGGTTTTATGAAGTTTTATTTTCAATTTTAGTCCTGGGTTTCTTGAAGAACTTTGGAAAAAGAGTTTTGGAGGAGGACATATGTCATTTTCTTGTTTTATCTCTAGGATTATTAATCTTGGTATTGTTGTCCATATTGATAGTGGTATGAAAAGAATAACAATATTGTGGTTTAAATAATCATGGGATTACTTATACCGGAATAACATGTCCTACATTTATCCTGAGATTGTAATCTCTTATCCTTGTAACCAAGGTACCAAACACCTAAGTTAATTTTTCCAATTGCCTACTACTTATTGGCTGGGCAGGTGAGTTGTAACAAGTATCGAGTGGATGTGCGAGCAAGTTGTCCCAGCTAATATTGTTATGTACTAACAAAGAAAAAGATCTGCCAATGCTCTGAATTCTTAAATCTAGTGGGACCATGATAGACTGGTGACTACAGATGAAATGGACCTGAATGGAATGGAATGTCTACCAACATCTTCAGAATCTAGGTGTAGTTGATTGATATTATTCAATAATCTAACTTAACGGGTGACTTTTGACCTCAATTCTGATATGGTTGTTAAAGCCATCAGGAAAGCGTTATATGTGGTGAACACGTCCGGACTATGACATAAAGAAAAATGGAAGCAACAAAATACTAGGTGATTAATCCCATCTGTCCTAGCCTTGGTGGACAAAGTTAACTCTGGTAACTGTTGTTGGCGGGAGGTGACTAGTAACTGTGGAATTAGTTGAGGTGTGTGAAAGTTGGCCCGTACACCACAGTTAGAAAAGAAAAAAAGAAAAAAAAGGAATAAGAGTAGCTTGATGATCTGTCTTTCTATCACTATTGTTCTCTTTAATCACTCATAAAGTTGTTTTGGAAATTGACAGGAATGGGAGCTGACGAGGTTATAGTGGAGCAGACTCCTTCTGGAACAACGTCTGAATCTATTGAAGCCTTGCTTGAGGTACCTCAACTTAGCTTATGTGCTTGCTTTATGTTGACCATGATATGCCTGTAGTCTTGATTTACGGATTGAGTGGAAAATAACATAATCACTGTAGTAGATATAGAAGTCTGCCTAACTTTGAACTTCCATAAATTCCAATTATAATTAAATAAGTTTTTACATTCAATTTTCACCTTAGTGGTGTAGGCTTTTTTGCTTGAGTTAATGCCCTTTATCTCTCAATCATTTGCTCTCTATCAACAGGCTGCCAGATATGATGATTTGGATGATGTCATGAGCTTAGCATCTTCTGGTGTTTCTCTCGATTCAAAGGATTCTGAGGGACGAACAGGTTTAAGTTTTTGAAATGACTTATTTGATGATTTAGTAGCTACCCTATCTGAGAATATCATACCTGTATACTTCTCATATGCCTTATTTGATTATTTGATGGTTACTCAAGCAGAGAACATCAATAATGTTGAAGTGTGTGGCCATCTCAATTAAATCTTAAGCAGTTAGAGAGAAGTTTTAATTACTTAATACATATTATGTCTCAACAAGCCCTCATGTGTTGGCATGATTCCTTTTCATGGGTCAAACACGTGAAAATAAAAATTATATTTTTGATTTTTCGCTGTTGGTGAGATTTTAACTCAAGATCTTTGCTTGCTCTAATATTGTGTTGAAGTGTGCGACCATCTTATTTAAAAAATTTAGCTAGATTGTTTAGAGACTGATACGTTTGGCAGAACACGATGAGTTACTTCAGGATTAAGGTAGGAAAATTAGAGAAGGGAATTTTCCCCAGTAGACCTGAAATCTATCATGGTATTGGAGATCAACTTGGCAATTTCTTCATTTGTTGGAAAAAAGTTGTTCTACAATTTGGAAAAACTTTTGGGTTGACATTTGAGCAACAACACCAACATACCCAGTGGGTTGACATTTGAGCACAAGTCAATATCTCATAAAGGTGTAATCTTTTACTACGGAAGTTTAACTTCTAAGTTTTATACTTTAAAGTAGAATTGCCAAACAATTTCTAGAAAAAATATAGGTTACCTTTATAACAGGAGGCAAGACACATATTACATGTTTTCAGGTGACGTAGTCCGGCTTTCGGGAAGGTTATGTTTATATAAACAAAAGGTGCTATTGGGTTTTTCAGGAATTGGGTTTAAATATATTAGGACCCTTATATTCACGATTACATAGTGTGTGGACATCATTTTACCAAGGTTATTTGATATTAGAGTCCGATTCTTGGTTACTTGATGTTGGACTCCCATGTAATATTGTCCACGCACCAGAGGTCCAGTCCTGATTTTTTACAAGATTGTAGTGCTATGTTACAACAACAAAACAAAACTGAGAAGTCACATCCTATCTATGGCTACCTAACGGAAAAAGTTAAGAAAGACAGAGAATTGCAAACTAACATTATCGAAGTGGGACTTCCTTCAAATTATTTCATCAAGATAGAACACCAAACCAAGATTAAGAGTTACTCGTGATTTTCTTGTTTCATGAAGATAAGAAACGGAAAGGAGTTTGGGAATGGGTTATGAACTTCTTTGTTAAACGAATTTCTTTTATCCTATATAAGCTAAATCAATCTTTTTATCTTATAAAGCTAAAACACACTCTTTCTGATTATGTGGTCATACATGTGGAGAATCATCTTAAAACATACATTTGGAAGTAGCAAAAACTTCCATGTTTCTTTTGTATAATGGTAGAACTGTATGACTCTCAAAATTTCACCGAACTCAACCCCTTATGATTTAGTCTTTATTGATGTGTCTTTGATATATTTTAAACTTATTTTTTATAATCAAGAAATCCCTTGAGGGCCAATGGCACATGGTTAGAAACTCGGTGGATGATGGGTCTGCTCCTCAACCCTTCTTCACTTAAGTACCAGGCTTTTATATGCAACATGGTTTGGACCTGTGACGTGCCTAACCCACACATCATGTGCTAGTCTTACCACTATACCAAAGCCTCTGGGGCGGGGGGGGGGGGGTAAACTTATCCCTAAAGTCAAATATTTAGTAGTGTTATATAATTCTTAAATTGCATGTACATAATGTGAATTTCAGAAGCCTAAATACACAAACTTCCAATAATTTCACAAATTAATGGACACCTTTCCATTCTGTTGTTTTTTTCTCAAAAATATGAACTTCCCCACAAGGATAGCCTGTTTCCCTTGGCAATCAATGACAACATAGTCACAATGGTGCAGCAGCTGGAGTGCCTACTTGTGAGATCAAGTTTTCTTTATTGTCCTAAGCCATATGAAATGGCCAGCTGGTTTACAAATTCTGACCTTGACCCATCTTTCAAAATTTGAATTTTGAGACCCCACCCTTTTGAGTGTCTACTTCATTTGGATGCCAAGTCTGATACAGGCAAGCCAACTGTTATAAACTGACTACCTGCTATGTTGATTGAGTTGAGTTAGTTCCGAATAACAGTGGTATTCAGGCAAGCTTGTGTATAGCTTGGTTATTCCACTGGGTACCTGCTACCTCCCACCAACACAAGTAAGGGTAGTTTTATCTCAAAAAAAGTAAGGGTAGTTCTGCCTACAAGGTTTAGGCATATGAGAAGAAATCACTTAGTATGTTTTGTCTTTGCGGTTATCCTTGGTTTTCTTCCACTTCATAACCCGTTAGGCCACATCTTGAATTTTGGTATAGTTGAATATCTATCATATCTGAGGTTCTAATTCTTGAACTACATACGTAACTAGAAATATTTGATTACACTAATATGAAGAATTTTATGTGGTCAGTTGAGTATCTGCCAATTGCCATACCTTGAAGTCCTAAGTATTGAATTATATATTCTGCCTAAACTAATAGATTTCTAACATGACCTGTAGTCCTTATAAACAATAATAGGGCTCCTAATATGACATGCTGAACTAACTTCTTGCTTTGGCTATTTAATTTTTGCAGCGCTCCATATGGCTTCAGCAAATGGGCATTATGGCATCGTAGAGTATCTTATTCGTAATGGAGCGGTGAGTAGACTGCCCCACTTATTTGCATTATTACATATTTGAACATATCTACTGGTTTACGTACTTGTTGATGTGATCTTACAGTCTCAGTTTAATGGATAATCATTATTATCCATTTCACTGAAGAAAACTGATACACTCGAGTGCATTTCTGAGCATTGGGCAAAATAATTTTTTCTTGTAAAATTGAGTCAGACAATATCCACCTCACTGTCAAAATTTATTCTCTTTGGGGTGGATCTTTAACTTCTCTTATCCTTTGATATATTTAGATACACATTGAGTGATGAAACAAATTCTTGGTAACAGGATGTTAATGCTTCCAATGTGGAGAAAAATACACCTCTTCATTGGGCTTGTCTAAACGGACATATCGAGGTAAATTTTGCATTACTCTTGGATTATAAGTCCCTAGCATCCCTTAATTTATATGACGGCTTGTCAGGTAGTGAAGACCTTAATCCTTGCTGGTGCAACTGTCTCAGCCTTGAATAGGTGATGTATTTTTAACTTGTATAGATTTGCAGTTCATCTATATAATAATAATAACAAAAAAAAAGGCAGCTCGGTGCATTGAAACTCCTGCTATGCGTGGGGTCTGGAAGGGCTGGACCACAAGGGTTTATTGTAAGGCTGTGTACAATAGACCCTGGTGGTCTCCCCTTCATTAGATCTTGCACATTGCGGGAGCTTTAGTGCATCAAACTTCCTTTTTTTTTAATTAATAGATTTGTAGATCAAGTATGCTTTTACTTCTTCTGCTCGTGCTCTTCACTGAATTTTGTTTTGCTTGTTTTAGCCATGAGAAGACTCCAATCGACGAGGTCGTGTGTAGGGGTAAAATGAACGTCATCGATGCGATCAACGAGGCGGTAGCGCAACTTGAACTCACTGGCACAACGGTATCATAAGAAGTCAAAATTTTACTTGTACATTTTTCATGTGAGGATGCAAAAGTCTTACTGGTGGTCACTATGTACAAATATTTTCTAATAACTTAAATAGCCTCTCTTTCAAGTATTATGTAAGCTTTGAACTTCTAGTGCTCTCTCACATCATATTTGGTGACTAAGTTGACAATGGCAAATGATGCATACTCCATTATGTTAGTAACAATTTCCTTGACCAATTTATCAGGTCATTTCTACAAGGACAGCTTTTCTTTAATCAGTTTTGAAAGTTGAGGGATTCTGAAATGTTTGGATTTTCCAAAACTCCATAGACATGCAGAAGAAAAATGCTAAACAGATTCATTTTGGTAGTTTGTTATTACTGGTAGTTCCTACAAAGGATTGGACTAATGACGTATACAATACTTGAATTCTCGATGTAGATGCTACATACGTTCTCATCCTCATTTGGTCATCTATGGTGTCATTTGGACAACATTGAAATCTAATCCACTCACAATGCTAGTAATTTTAGAGGGATTGCAGAGTTCACCACATGAATTCAGTGCAAATTTTAATTGTTTTTTGGAGTTGGAGTAAAAGAATTAACAGTGTAGAATATGATGATAGAGGAAGAATAATCTTTTTACTTTCTTTTCTAGTTTCTGTGTTGTGAGAGAACACCCAAATCAGTTTAGCCCCTGTGAAACTGAGTCCAAAGGTCTGTGAATAACTTGAATGCACTCATATTTATCATCGAAAATATGATAAATTAGTCGATTTTTCCTCATCTGTCCTAGCCATAATGGATAGAGTTACTCGGTACCTGCACTTGAGGGAGGTATCGGGTACCTTGTGGAATTAGTTGATCCGTATACCAAGGTTACCCGGAAAAAAACAGAAATATGACTTGTCAACAAACCATTTTGGAAGCAAGATCATAAAAAAAAAAAAAAAAAACTATCCAGTATATGGATGCATGATTTACAGTATTCTTGTTTCTCAGATAGTTGTGGCTGGGCTTCAAAAATTACTTTACATATCAAGAAATTACATAGAATTCTACAACAACAACAACATAGCTAATGTAATCCCACAAAGTGGGGTCTGGGAAAGGTAAAGTGTACGCATACCTTACCCCCTACCTTAAAGTTAGAGAGGTTGTTTTAGATAGACCCTCGACAAGAGTTCTACATGCTGCGATCCTCCCCACATCTACATCGTTGATGGTGACAATGGTATATATTTTCCAAAGCTTGATGAGATAGCAATTCTTTTCATTCTTTGGTATGCATCATGCTACAATTCAACAAGTAATTGTACAGTTTGTGAAAGAGTGAATATCTCTGTTAGTTCTTGTGCCAACATAATGAAGTTTTATCACTGTCAATCACTTTGGTATCTACAAAGTGAAAAAATGAACTCATGTTGCACCAAAGCTTTCTTGCAGCCATTTTGCTTGGATTTGTAGCCCTGCATCCCTCAAAGAATTCAAAGCTGACTTTTGAAGTCTTCCATCTAACTTAGTCCCTTCTCTCTTCATATTCTGCAGAAGACTAATCAACTCATCAACTCTATTCATCTTTGAGAAAACACCAACCATAATCCCAGCCATTGCCCTATCGAGCCTTCCACCGTTTAGTGTAAATTCTTGATAGTATATCAAACACTTGTCAAACTCCCTTGCCTTGCTATATGCACTTATAATGCTTGTGTAACTTACTCTATCTGGAAAAATCTTCCTTCTCTTCATTTCCTTCCATATTTTTTCGACTTGTCTCAAGTTTAGAACTTTTCCATGAATGTCTAAGAGAGCATTGTACACCCAAACATTTGGTTGACAGCCTCTTTCTTTCATTATCGCGACAAGTTTCATTGCATCTTTTGGCCTTCCTGTTTTGCCATACATTGCAATCATGCTAGAATAAGCAACAACACATTTGTCAAACCCCTTTTGTTCCATTTCAGAAAATACCATTTCTGCATTAGAATACAATCCAAGCCTACAATACAAGTTCAGTACTGAGGCATATGTCACTTGACCTGGTTCACAGCCTTGTGAAGTAAGGTCTTCATACACTTGAACAGCAGACCTAAGACCTCTTTTTCTTGAAAATCCATTCACAATTGCACAAAATATGCAGTCAGACACTCGGATTTTCACCCGAGTCATCGTTGCAACAACATCAAGAGTCTTTTCCATACACCCCTCTTCAATATACATCAACACCAGTTTCAAAAACAGTGCTGGATCCCTCAGCATTTTCTTCCCTTCAGCTTCTTCTAAAAGCTCCTCAGCCATTTTCACTTCACGAATGCTCGCGAATCCACATATAACTATGGAGTAAAATGAATGATCCTCTTGAATCCCCTTCTTAGTCATGTCTCTAAAGTACTCCAAAGCCTCAAAAGCGCGACCAGATTTCCCTAACGACTCACAAAGACTCTTGTAAATTTGAACATACTGAGGTATTGTTGACTCCACTCTCTTGCTCTCAAATTCTTCGAAAAACGACACAACTTTATCAGAATTCCCCATTTTAGAATGTGCTTCCATGATACTGCAATAACATCCAGGGTCTAATACAAGCCCTGCAGATTTCATTCTCTCATACAACACAACAGTACTGCTATACATATGCAACTTATTATAACCTTTCATAGCAGAATCAAAAGCCAAAACAGAGATTTCTTGATCAACTACTATAAACAATTCAAGAAAACTATTTACAATCTTGAACTTTCTTGATTTCATACAACTACTTATCAATCTACAACATGTAGAACTATCAGGCAACACTTTCAAAGTTCTCAAATCTTTAGACAATGAAAAAACTGAACCCCATTTGTTTGAATTCACTAAATACCTGATAAGAAGCTTTAGTGTTGATTTCTCAGGTCTAAAATCTTTTTTCCCCTTTGCTTTCTCATAGTAATCATATCCAATTTCTTGAGTTTGAGAATCTTTAAGTAAACTGCAAATTACACCATTCAAATCTTTAGAATCAGGCAAACTAGTACTACTAGTAGTACCATTTGTTGTACTACTAAAATCTTGAATTTGTTCCAAGTCTAATAATTCTATAACTTGAGAATTCTTGGAGGGTGTTTTTTGGCTTTTTTTTTCATCTAAGACAGGAGAAGAACAACTACTAGAGGATTTTGCAACTAGAGTTGTTGAGTTCAAGAAAATGTTTGAAAGAAAAGGCAAAGTTTTACAAGAATAGCAAAATTTTGGTTTCAAGATTCTGTTTTTACAGTTAATACAAGGAGGAAATGACCAATCTGAAGAAGTGGCAATAGCCATTGATGATGATGTTGAAGAAGAAAAATGAGAAATGAATTGAAGTTTTTGTGTATTTTGCATTATTATGTTGTAGTACTAAGGTGAGGGGAAATTGTAAAAACATTATCAGTTTCAGATTCTGCCATGCATGTGGCTTGTATTGACCACTTATTGTTTGACAGGTGTGTGGTTATGGACTTTAGACTTATCAATGTGGATTTCAGCCACATAGTTTTATTTTGTCTTGAGGAAAATTGAAAATCAAGCAAAGTGGAGGAGCATTTGAGATAGTCAAATTAAAGTTATACAAGAAAAAATAACAATATCGTTTGTCCGGATATTTTTTTTACTTTTATAGTAAATTTATTGTTATAAAGAACATAAAATATAATATATTATAAAAAATAAATTTTAAAAAAGAGCTAACCGTTATAATACAATATTGTTATAAAATATCCCTTAATTTTATGATTTATAGCAGAAATATCCATTGTTAAAAAAGTATTGCACATACATCTTTGTTTAAGTTTTAACAAATAGTGCATAATTATCCTTTTTGTTAGCACGCCTACATTTACTAAATTAAAAAAATAATAATCTAAAAATATTTTTATTTTATTTTTAAAAATGTCAAGTAACTTTAAAAAGTTACATCACTCATTTTTTTTACCCCTTCAAATCCGGTCCAAATGAAAATAATAATCAATCCCTCTTCTAATTGACTAGTCATATTTAAAGTCATGTGACCTTTTTGAATTTTTAAAAAAAAAAAAATCAAATTTGAGATTTTTTACCTTTTATACATTTAATGAAAAGACTAAATATATATATACACAATTTGTTAAACATCCAGGATATATATGCACTACCTTTTTAATAAGAGGTATATTCGTTCTAAATTGCAATGTTGAGGGATATATTTTTTTCTTTTCCCTAAATACAATCAGATGGTGATTGTGCTAGAGAACGTGCTTGCATCAAGGATTCACCCTTAACCTATTTTTATTTGTGTTGGCGATGGATGTATTGATGTAACAATATATTCAAAGAGAGGTATCATGATGTATGTTTATGTGTAGATAATAGAGTATTGATTGATGAGATACAGAGAATGAAAAATAGAGTGGAGATTTGGAGATGAATTCTAGTGTCTAATGTTCAGGGAGAACACGACTAAGAAAAAATATTCAGACTGTAAGAAAAAATATTCAGAGTGTAAGTTCAGTCATGTTCGTCATGAGATAGATGTGATACACAAATTATCTCTATGTGAGAAGATTTCAAGTATCTTTGATCAATACTTCAAGAAAATTGAGAGATTGACATAATGCTATACATTATTATGGAGCGAACTGGATGAGATGAATATTGCATTCGATGTCTTGTCTGATAAAAATGGGCTCTGAGATTTAAAGGTTATTAGATCAACTATATATATTGTATGAAGCAGAGTGTTGACGGTCATCAACTTGCATGTTCAGAGATAAAAGTAGCGAAAATGTAGATGTTGAGATGGATGTATGAGAGTATTAGGAGAGATAAGATTATGAACGAAGATATTTGGGACATGATGAGAGTGACTTTCGTGGTGAATAAAATGATGAAAGCGAAATTGAGATGATTCGAGATGTGAAGCGTAACGACTCAGTCCGCTAGTGATATTGTATGTTCTGGGCTTAGGCCCTCACAGTTTTAAAACGCGTCACTAGTTGGTAAGGCCCGCTGACTTAAATACCCAACATCTCTCATGTGTTTTGTTGATGTGAGACTTCCAATCTTAAGCTGAAGCATTACATCACCCCTCTATGGACTCAGTGTCCTCATTGAGGTTTGCCCCACCGTATGAGATTTGCCTATACCCCTTCTATGGACTCAACGTCCTTACTGAGGTTTTCCCCACCGTATGAGATTTGCCTATACCCCTTCTATGGACTCAACGTCCTCGCTGAGGTTTGCCCCATCGTATGAGATTTGCCTATACTCAGCACTGAGATTTACCTCGCCTTATCGGGATTTGTCTAAACTCAGTCAAACTCTGGCCCACATTGACAAGGCTGATACATGAGGGGATCTGATACTATTTATAATGTCCCAGTCCGCTAGTGATATTGTTTGCTCTGGGCCTAGACCCTCACGACTTTAAAACACGTCACTAGTTGGTAAGACATACTTACTTAAATACCCAACATCTCTCATGTGTTTTGCCGATGTGAGACTTCTAATCTTAAGGCGAGGCCAATGGCGGAGCCAGGATTTTTAAGAGGGTTTAAAATCTGAGAAGTAAACATACGAACTAGTGGAAGGGGGTTCAACATCTATTATACATATCCAAAAAATAATTTTAACCATGTATAAATAGTAATATTTTTCGCCGAAGGGGGTTCGTAAGTATATGCTGCCTCCGCCCTTGGGTGAGGCTTCATATGAAGATGAGACGCACAAATATGTGAGATGTTGTCTATGATGGATCTGAGGAGATGTAAAGTTAAGTATTGGTAAGAGATGATTAGACATGAGATGACACACGTGCAACTTATCAATGAAAAAATATTAAATATGAGGATATGAAAGTTGAAAATGATAGTAAAAGGTTAATAGGTAATCGATCATTGTCTAGTTTTCCTTATTAGTATTATTCTCCTACTATCTTTTTTTTCAATATAATTATTATCTTATGTTTCCTTTGCTTCAGTTATCATACTATTATTATTCGATATGATTTTTTTACTATTATATTCTTCCGTACATGATTTTATATATTTTACTTGAGTTAAAAATTTATAATAGTAAATAACTTTACCTTTATAGATAGACCCCACTTGTCTCTCCCCTGCTAATACTCAATACATTGACCTGACGGCTTTGGTTCGGCTGATAAGGAAAACGTCGGAAATTAGGTTCGGAAACTGCTTTGAAGACGAGACTCAGCCTCGGCTTTTTGTTGAGGTTAGTACAACCGTAATTCAAAATTCATGTTCAAATTCAGCTCCGTCACCGGCACCGGCACCGGCTCTGGCACCGGGACGGCGGCGGAGGTGGCTGGCTCAGTCACTCACTATTATCCGTTCAATTTCATGCAGATTCTGTTACTGAATGCTTCAATTTCTTTAGGCGGAGCTATAATAGTTGCTTGTAGAGTGGTGAGTTGATAGGGAAGATGGGAACTAGGGTTCCGGTGCAGCACTACGATATGAGGTCGGCGGCGGATTCTTATATAGAGACTTCATTGCATGATCTCAATGCGGAGGGTATTGGTGGTGGAGGTGCTGGTGGTGATGATGTTGATCGTGGAGGAGGTGATGTAACTGAGGATAGCATGGATAACGGTGAAGAGTCAACAGCTGTTGTGAGTGAGCCCTTTTCATTTTCAATTTCCAGAAAATAATTTAGACATAAGACATAGCTGTCATGTAAGCATATCTAGGCACATCAACTCGCCTTTAACTTATAAAATGATCATTTAGACACTTCCAAAATTTATGTGCCAGCTCAGCGTAGGGTGCCCATGAGATATCGTGGGGATGATGAGTTGTAGTGTTTAGTTGCTAGTTGAGATCAAATTGAGCTGTCTAGATGTGCACTCTCAAAGTTGAAATGCTTAGTTGCTAGCTGCGGCCAAGTTTGAGTGTTGTGTTTATATATTATGCCAAAAATTTATCGTGTGTCACGTTAGTGTCAGGTGTCCACGAGACACAATGAGGACAAGTTGGAGTGTTTAGTTACTAGTTGAGATCAAGTTGAGGTGTCTAGATGTGCACTCTCAAGCTTGAAGGGCTTACTTGCCAGCTGAGATTAAGTTTGAGTGCCTATTTATGCATTATGCCAAATTCTCTACAACTAATACAGTCTTCCAGCTTGCTATTCTCCTATTTGGTGAGGCTCAGCGTATCTTGTTATACCAATTATACCTTTCTGGTTTTATTAATTTGACAAACAACAATAACAACTATGCCCCAACCCTAAGCTAGTTAGCGTTGACGGTATGAATCCTCACTTTGCACATGTATGTTAGAACCGTTTCCATCTGATATTCAGTAATTTACTGCTGTCCATTTTCCACTGGCTTACAAATATATAGCAAGATTAATGGCTCCTAGTGATGATTGGATCTAAAATAAGCATGCCTGAAATGATTTAACCTTAATCCCAACTAATTGTTACACATACATGGATCTTTTTCTTCCATTGTTCCCCAGTTTTCCTTAAGTTGGCATGGATTCTTGATATTTTAGGTCTTTCGAGATAAGTTCATTCCATGTGATTTTATGGCCGTCCTTTTGTTTTTAATGGCATTGACGTTCTGTTTTGTTGTGCCAAATTGGGGAACTTGTTTAGGGAGTAAGCAAAGCTTCTCTGCTAGTTAGACATCTTTTTTTCTGATGTTAGAAACTGGCGTTTTGATTGTGAAGCCTACACCAGTGAGTGTACATGTGCGCAAATTATTCATGAACTGTAATTGTATTGGTACTTTTTCAGGATTGCCTCCATGAGACCTTCAGAAACTCATTACCACTTCATGGTATAGTGGTGGAGGAAGATCGTACTAGCATTGAAAATAGTGGATCTTCAACGGGTTCCTACAATATTGTTACTATTGATGGTAACTTGAAATTTCATTTTATACTTGATCTTAAATGTATTAAAGCAACTAGATGACCTTTATTTTTAGATTTGCTAATACCAGTTTTCATGGACCAGATATTTCGCCAATTGAAACGGCAAGGACAAGATTTTTAGACATTATTGTTGATCATTTCATAAGGCCACATGTAGTTGATGTTGTAGATTCAGAGGCAGACTTTGCTGCTCAATCTTCACAAGATAAAATGAGCAAGCGGAAGTCGAGAGAAATCCATTATGAAGGTGATGCTACATATGTTTTGCCCTTGATGTACGTGGCTAACATGTATGAAACATTGGTTAATGAAGTGAATGTAAGGCTCTCTTCTTTGAATGGAATGCGTGAAAAAACCATCGGTGTGGCCCTTGAAGCAGCTGGTGGTTTATACAGAAAGCTTGCGAAAAAGTTTCCTAGGAAAGGTATGACATATAAGGCTCCAAAATTTCATTTCGACACTTGC